GAATTCTCAGAGCTTGTCTTCTCCAGACCATATGAGACCTTATCAGAAGATATTAAAAACAAGGTCACCCACACCCAATGGCCCACAGATATTGCTAATGTATTCCATCTGCTCGTCTCTGCTTTACGTTTCAAGATTCCCCATCTGCAGGGGCAGATCAGAAGTCCTGCTGGACCTCCCCAGGCTGTGGGCATCCAGGCTCTATCGCAATGTCTTCTATCGTCAGAGTGGGGCTGCCCTGACCAGAGAGTACACTTGCATCCCCAGCCGTGAGCAATCTGGCCTGGGCAAAAACTTTTTTGAAAGGCAAGACCATATTGCCACTCTGAAGTTCATCTCCTGCAGTTCCTGCAATAGGTTAGTCCAGTTCTTGCTCACAGCTAGAGGCTCCAGTTGTGTCTCTGCCTCCTCTGTTCTTTGCTGAGGACACGGACGGCCCCAAGGCTGAGACATCTGGCTAGGTAGAGAGCTTCAGGCTGGGCCATATAAGCCCAGGTTCCGGGCAGCTTGGGAGATCCTGGGAGTTTTCCTCTGAGGAAAGGGATAGTGAGCTGGTTTGCCAGACCTGTGTGGGTGCTTTACAGAGGGAGGACATCGAATGCTGAATTTTAAGCCAGACTCCGCTGCCTTTGTGTGGGTGTTTCCCACCTGGCACTGACGCGGGGCTGCCTCGGAGATTGGGGTTCTGTGCTGAGTTATCCAGTTGTTTTCAGACAGGTGCGCCTCTCCCTCCAGAGGGAGCCTTTGGTCAGACCCCACGAGCTTGCCCCTGTGCTTCCCTTGATGAGTGGTTCCCTGGGGGACGGCGTGGACCAAACGATGCATCTCCAGGTGTGTGTGCCATGGAGACTCGAGGGCCTCCAGACAGTGTCGGTCATCCTCCTCCACCGGCTCCTCTGCCACAGGAGCTGCCTCCTCCTGGGACAGCGAGCGCCTTCCCTCTCTGTTAATCCAAATAGCACTGACCATGGGGTCGGTAGGAGCAGGCATATTCCCTCCTGAGAAGAGAAGGCACAAGCAGGTCTCACTGGAAGGGACACGGGCACCTCTCATTCAGGAAGTCTCAGAAGGAAGGTCATGCCCAGAATGTCAGGTGCCCAGTCCTGCACATATGTATGTATCTGGAGGCACACATAGTTCCACACGCACACTGACACACGCACACACTCTCTCATGCCATACATACAATTGCTAATCCATTCAGCAATGAATATATCTATTGAGTGCTTGATATGTGCCAGGCATTATTTACCCATTTTATTATTATTATTACTTTATTTGGAGACAGAGTCTCACTTTGTCACCCTTGGTAGAGTGCTCTGGCATCATAGCTCACAGCAACCTCAA